GTTAAAATAAATTTAATTGCCAAAAGTAGTACATCAAATTTTGAATTTTCTTAAACACTATTTACAAGCTAGACAAACCAAACCGTACATCTGATATCGCCAAACACTGGTAATGCAACCCGTTAACAAATTTCAATTTTAGTCGGCGATTTGGGCGCATCGTGAGCTTGAGTCATTTGCAAGGTTTGTTCCTGCACAAACCCCATTTGCTTCCGCACCCACTTTTTAACCTGGGTTGTCGCGTAACAGCAGAAGAAATACAGAATCATAACGGTTATCACGAAAGTCGTAACAACCCAACCAATATATGATCGCACTATTGTCTCCTTCATCACCGCTTCGGACTGGGCGACAACGACTTCATCTTTGTTCACCGTGTTACCCATTGTTTAATATTAAAATAATAGTTTATTTATTCGGAGAAAGTATGTATGTACTACACGAAAGTCAGCGCCGACAAGAAATAATTTGCCTAAAAATGCTAAATAATGTTCATTGAGTCGACCTAACTACAATTATAAATTGAAATGTACGGGCTTCTTCGAAATACGGCTGCTTCGCGTGGTGTAGCTGAGCGGGCGATCAACTTTTTCCGCTCCGCTTATGTTAATATTACAGTCATTTAAAGAAGTTTTGGCTACGTATCGCTAATATAAGCAGGTTTAAGCCTATCTACGGATATAAATACATCTCTACCGGGCATTTGTTTTAGGAAAAGTTTTCCTTTTCGTTCAAAAATTTTGAATGGTCCCTCGTATGGAGGTTGTAATGATTTCCGTACAAAGTCACTCCTAACAAAAACGTGCGTGCAGGTATTTAAATCGCTATGAATGTATGCGAGCGTCCTTATGTGCCGTAGGCTTAGGTTTCAGCTCGTTTATCAGTTTTCGTAACCGTTGCACATATTCGCTGTGATATAAAAATTTTAAATTATAATTATTACCGCAAAAATCTCCGGGCAGCCTTAAAGATTGACCGTATGTTAATTCGGCGGCACTAACGCCAGTGTCTGATCGCGGGGATGCTCGCAGGCCTAACAAAACTATAGGTAGTTCCTCAACCCAGGTCTTAGAATCCAACCTGGCCATAAGCGCGGCCTAAAGGGATCTATGCCACCTCTCAATCAGCCCATTGCTTTGTGGGTGGTAAGGAGTAGTTCTGGTTTTATAAACACCTAAATATTTCATTAAATTTTGAAAAACATTGCTTTCAAATTGTCTGCCCTGGTCGCTAGTAAACTGAACGGGGCAGCCAAAACGCGAAATCCACCTTTCGAAAATTACCTTAGAAACCGTTTCTGCGGATATATCCCTTACTTGAAACGCCTCTGGCCAACCGGTCAGTCGATCTATTATTGTGACGAGATACCTATAGTCTTGCAAGAAAATATTAAGTAGACCAACTATGTCGACGTGAATGTGGGAAAATTTATCCGCCAACCTAAAATTCCCTAGTTCCTATGTATTATGCCTATAAACTTTGGCACGTTGACATGCAATGCACGACTTGGCCCATTTACCTACGTCCTTATTCATATTAACACAGAAAAATCTATTACTCATTAGCTTACACGAGGTACGGATACCGGGGTGGCTAAGACTATGAATACAGTCGAAAGCTAAGCGCCTAAATTGTTCCGGTAAATATGTTTTCGCCCGATTGGTAGACATTTCACACCAAACGGGAAAGGCGCTGCCAGGAATAAATATCTGTTTAAAATTCCACTTATTAGAATTGCGTAAGCTAACTAGTTGCTCGTCATTACTTTGTGCACTGCTGATCGCTGCATAATCTAAAACGGTTGGACAAATTACGGTCTGTACCCCTTGAAAACGCGTCCGCTACTACATTCTTATCACCTTCAATGTGTTTAATGTTTATAGTGAACATCTAATAAAAGGTAGTTGTCTCACACGCCTAGGTAAGTCATTGTCGCTATTGATTTTTGAAAACGCGAAAAATTAAGGGTTTTTGGTCCGTAAAAATAACCAAATCTTGACCTCCAACCATATTTCTGAAATATTTAACTGCATGATAAATTATAGCTATTTATCTTGCAGTTAGCAGTTCTTTATCGTAAGTGCTGTATTTCTACTGAGTTGGCGAAAAATATCCTAGCGGTGACTATGAATTACCTACTTGCTGTTGCAATGCCGCTCCCACGCTTGAATTCGATGCATCCGTCATAAGTGCAAGCGGGGTATCGGGTTTCGGATACGATAAGCTTACTGCGTTTTGCAACTTTGTTTTACATGGAATAAATGCTTTGTTCGACTTCTCATCCCAATTAATTTTAGTCTTGTCTTTCTTCTTAGAATTTTTTAAAAATTTATTTAACTCCATTTGATACTGTACAGCATTGGGCAAATGTAAACGATAAAAGTTGACCATTCCCAAAAATCTCCTGAGTTCTTCTACCGTTACTGGTTTCGGAAAAGCACATATAGCATCAACTTTATCTTTAAGAGGACGAATACCTTCCGTAGATACTTCGAAACCCAAAAATCTATTTTAGACTGTCCAAATAAGCATTTATTCTGGTTGATAGTCAAACCGCATTTATTTAACCACTCGAACACGATCTACAAATGCTCTCTATGTGACGTCATGATATAGGTATAAAGAAAATCTAAGCCCTCAAAAACAGTGTGATTCATAAACCGTTCAAAAGTTGGCGCACCATTACGCAGGCCAAACACATGCGTGGGAATTTGAAAAGACCGAAAGGTGTTATTATGGCGGTCTTCTCTACATCGTTAGGAAGGACCATTATTACCTGATACGCGCGATTAATATCGATTCGTGAAAATATTTTTTTACCTTCTAATAAATAATACGTAAAATCATGCAATCGCGGTATAGGGTACCTATCGGGCATTGTTATCGCGTTAAGAGCCCTGTAATCGCCACATGGTCGTATTTGGCCGTCTTTATTAGGCACAACGTGTAGAGGGCTTGCCCACGCACTTTTCGACGGTCTACAAATCCCCAACTGTTGCATAAGCCTACACTCTTCTTTGACCTTTGGGTATCGATGCGGTGGTAACGGTCTTGCTTTAGCGTGCACCGGTGGGCCATTAGTCTATATGGTGGTATACAGAATGTTTGGGCAGTTCTTTAAATGAAACCGACTTGGTGATATCAGGATATTGCGCTAAAATATAACAAAAAGTGTGAGACGGACCTATAGTTTGAACTGACTGTTCTTGACAGAAAACAATAGGAGCTAAAACATTTAAATTTGTCACCTCGTCAATTAGTTTGTGCGACGCTACGTCGACCAACAATTTATAATACGCTAAAAAATCTGCACCTAAAATTGGTTGACGCACATCTGCGATAACAAATGTCCACTGATACGCTCTGCGGAACCCTAAATCTAAATTTAAAGTTTTAACACTGTAAGTGCTTATTATGCTGTCATTTGCTGCATATAAAATATAATCAGAACACTCATTACCACACGATTTAATACGCACTTTGTTCCACGGCAAAACTGAGATATTGGCACCAGTGTCAATTAAAAAAATAAGGTTGCTGGACTTATCTCGTATGCTGAGGCGATGATTGGAGCTGCCTATGCAGCTGTTCACCTCCTTCCGCTGCACAGCATCTAGTTTCCCGTTTCCTCCGGTTTCCAAGCGCACGGCTGGACACATTTTGCGCCCTGGCCTTGAAGCGATAGTGGTAGAAACACAACCAATGAATCACGAGAAGCAGCGCGCCCAGGAGTACGGCTGTGGCGCCCTTGAGACTGTTAACGGGCTCGGGTCCTCTCACGTCTACGTGATTAGAACCGCGATCTGCCCATGGCCAGATGGCTTGGTGTCGGCATGTTCCTCCCGGACTCAGCAAACGGTATCAGCCACGGGTGGGGTACGCTGCATGCGATGGACAATTGAAATGAATAAGAACGCATTGCGGGCGTATTTTGGGGCGAAAGAGGGAAAAGTTTTAGTTTTTGCGTACCAGGCTAAGATGCACCGCCTGTTTGCTGAGCTGTAGCCATCTATTACCGTCACCGATCAAAACCTGGCAGACCGAGTTCGGTACATCATGCGCACAAAAATATTTGACGATGCCGAACTCGAACGGCTACGACGTGAGGTTGCTCCCTCGTCGGATGAAAATACTACGACAGGAGATGCGGCTCTACTAGTAGCAGAGCAACCCGCATACATAAATGCCCCGGTAGATCTTCTTGCGATTGACTCAGACGATGATGGAATAGTCGCCTAGGAACATGAGCAAATGAGGAGCATATAGGAAGAGGCGATTAGCGTAACGCGTATTACGCCTCTCGAGAATCGACCGCGTCTTTCCCGCATACCCCTTAGCAAGCGCAATCGGGCTGTCGTGAGGGCTCTAAGCCCAATGGTGGTGACCTATTTGGAAGCAGTCGGAACCTTTGCGAGACGGACTCAATTTTTTTTGGTGTCGCACTGGCAGTATGTTGTATTATTGGCGCCAAGCTCCCCAGCTCCCCACGGCTGGACCTGCTACTACACACGGTAGCGCCATCCCAGCCTGGACAAAAAGAATTGAGGACCGTATCGCAAAGGTAAACCCTCATCGGCAGACTTATAAGCTTCAAGTCGGGCAATAACAGGCCAAGAAATGTGCGCACCGTCAGGATGGTGTCGCTGGGACAAATATCAGTTTATTCCAGCCGAATATTGTGCAAAAGCTGACGGAGCATATAGACGACCTGAAGCAGAGAATCGCTGCTTGGGGGAAGCGGATTTGACGATATAACGAGAGGTCGACACGGTTCAATCAGTATCGTCTTTTCCAGAGTGATCAGAAGAGACTCTATAAATCACTGGAGCGACCAGTGATACGTGGAACGGGCTCAGCACTGAATCAGGCCGACACTGTCGCATTCTGGCGTGGCCTGTGGTGAGAGCCCGTAAACCACAGCGAGAGTCCTTGGACAGATGTTGTGGCAAGTCACTGTGCGAATATTACGCCCATGGACCCCGTCATTATAACGCCGGACGATGTGGGTGGGGCAGTACGTAGGGCTCCGAACGGAAAAGTCCGGGGCTCGACGGGCTGCATCACTACTGGCTGAAGGGGTTCGTGGTGTGTCAAGCTGTGCTTGCCGACAGTTCCAAGACCACCAGAAGTCGCTCCCGAGCCTCTTCACTACTGGGTTCACTCATTTGGTACCAAAAGACGAGGATACCACAGACCCAAGCAAATACCGCACCATCATGTGTCTACCCACCATATACAAGACACTAACATCCATTTTGAGCGCGATAATCACTCATCGCCTGAACTCAAATCAGGTGATGTCGCGCGCTCAAAATGGATGTCGGGGCGGTGGTCGTGGAACCAAGGAACCACTTCTCATTAACGCGATCATTGGCAAGGTGGTTAAACGCAACCGGCGGAACTTCTCCGCCGCTTGGATGGACTACAATAAGGCATTCGACTCGGTGCCTCATACATGGCTGAAGAGGATCCTTGAGCTGTGCAAGGTTAACTATAGAACCACATAAGGATAAGAAGGGGTATCTTCCAAGGCGATTGTTAGAGTACAATCTGGTTCTGCCTCTCTCTGAACTCTACTTTACAGAAGGGTTCCGGGAGGGGATTTCAGCTTTGGAAAGGAGGTACAAAAGTGACCCACCTTTTCTATGTGGATGATCTCAAGTTATTCGCCTCCAGTCGCTCCCATGTTATGGAATTGCTAAACATCACTCGTGATTTTAGCAATTCTATTAGAATGGAGCTGGGGATGGATAAATGTGCGATCCTCCATGTCGAAGGGTTGAGTTGCTAACTCTGAGAGCATAGACTAACGTATTCCATTAACATAAAGACCCTTTCCGAAGCTGAAACATACCGATACGTGGGTATATCACAGAGCATAGTTATCGATGAGGCGGACATGAAACAATCAGTTTGCAATCTGTTTTATGCACGCTTGAACAAAGTGCTTAACAGCCTTTTGTGGGGAGTGAATAAGACAAAGGCTTATAACGGTTGGTTCATGCCTGTCCTCATATATACCTTTGGCATACTCAGATGGACTCGGACCGAACTGAACTCTCTGGATACAAAAGTCCGTGCGTGCGTTAGTGCATGCGTGCGTTTGTGCGTGTGTGCGTGCGTGCGTGCGTGAGTGCGTGCGCGCGTGCGCGCCTGCGATCGTGCGTTCGTTCGTGCGTGCCTGCGTGCGTGCATTTGTGCGTGCATTGGTGCGTTCGTTCGTGCGTGCGTGCGCGCATTCGTAACCTCATGCGTGCGTGCGTGCGTGATTGCTTGCTTGCTTGCGTGCGTGCGTGCGTGCGTGCGTCCGTGCGTTCGTACGTGCGTGCGTGCGTGCGTTGATGCATGCGTGCGTGCGTGCGTGCGTGTGTGTGTGTGTATGTGTATATTTAGCTTATGTTTGTTTTTTTTATATAAAATAAGGGTAACAAACGAGCACACAGTCCACGTGATGGTAATTGGTTATTTTCCAGTAAAATGGGTTCTCTACACTCACCATACGAAACACAGCAGTGTCAAGCTGCCCTTTTACGCTGGTATTCTGTGAGGGCGTGGTCCTTCCCCGGTCGAGTCGACCCGTTCGTGCTACAACTATACTTAGTACTAATTTAGCTGCAGCATGGCTCTACCACGTACTAACTTGTTCTTAGTGTTTAAAGTATGAACATCTTTCTCCTTATCATAGCTATTTAAATTTTTATGTACTTACATTTTCATAAATATATTGCGATTACAAAGTTAATGTTTAGTTCTTAAATTTTTCGCTAAGGGACTCTTTACAATTTAAGTTATAAATCGCTCGAACGGCTCTCTTTTGCAAAATAAATATGGCTTCCATATCAGTAGCATTACCCCATGTCAAAATTCCATAAGACATCACGTACAAACTAACTAAAATAAACTAATCTAGCTGTCTCAACATTGGTGAGTGCAAGCATGCATGCATTGCATGCAATGAAGTGGACGATATGAATGACAAGCTCGTGGAAACTGTCCATTCGGTCGGAGCTAAGTTCTGCAAGACCCGCCGCAGAAGAACACAAAAACTCTCCGATCACACTCTTAATCTCATGGCTGTTAGACGGGAGATGAAGCTACATTCGTCAACAGATTTGACAGCATACAGGCAACTGAACAGACAGATCTCCAAATGCGTGCGGCGGGACTTACGCAACTTCAATACAGCTTGTAATAAAGAAGCGATCGAGCGGAACCAAGGCTCCAAAGTCTTTGCCAGAGATTTGTCTGCGAGAAAGAGCCAACTGTCAAAGCTGAAGACCGAGTGTGGCAGCATCGTTTCCGGGGCACCTGAGATTTTGAGTGAGATTGAGAGGTTCTATGGGCAGCTGTACACGTCATCGTTGGAGCCACACGCAAGTGTGAGTAACGATCCAAGAGCGAGTCTTATCCGACACTATTCCGACGATATCCCGGACGTCAGTCTGAGCGAGATTAGAATGGCTCTCCAGCATCTTAAAAACGGCAAGGCCCCAGTCGAGGATGGAATTACAGCGGAGCTTCTGAAAGCGGGTGGAAAACCGGTACTTGAAGTCCTTCAGAAGCTCTTTAATTCCGTCCTCCATGGTGGCATTACACCGGAGGCGTGGAGCAGAAGTGCGGTGGTCTTGTTCTTCAAGAAAGGTGACAACGCTCTCTTGAAGAACTACAGACCTATTTCCCTTCTGAGCCGCGTCTACGTGCTGTTTTCGAGAGTCATTACGAATCGTCTCGCGCGCAGACTTGAGGAGTATGTTTACCTGGGACATATAGTCCGACTAGGTAAGTCCAACTTCGACCGAGAGGTCAATCGACGGATTCAACTCGGCTGGGCAGCGTTCGGGAAACTACGACACATCTTCTCGTCAGACATAACTCAAAACCTTAAAACGAAATTGAACAACCAGTGCGTATTGCCAGTGATGACTTACGGATCTGAGACGTTGTACTTCACTGCTGGCCGTATGAGGAAGCTTAAGGTTGCTCAACGAGCTATGGAGAGGGCTATGCTCGGGGTTTCTCTGCGTGATAAACTTAGAAATGAGGATATCCGCAGTAGAACCAGGGTAACTGACATAGCCCAACGGATTAGTAAGCTGAAGTGGCAGTGGGCCCGCCATATAGCTCGAAGAACCGACAACCGATGGGGAAGAAAGGTTCTCGAGTGGCAGCCTCGTACCGTTAGGCGAAGTGTAGGGCGACCCCCCACGAGATGGAGTGACGACCTGGTAAGACATACAGGAAGTCGATGGATGCAAGTGGCTCAGGGCCGTGCTTTGTGGCATTCCTTGGGGGAGGCCTATGTTCAGTAGTGGACTTATGAAAGGCTGTAATGATGATGATGGTGAGACTCAACACGTCGCCATGTAGGAGCATCATTCCCCATTTAGTGAGAGTTGGTAGTACAAAAATTAGCGGGGTCCAATGTACTTCCAGATTTAAATAAAGGTATTACTTTACTATGTTTCATCATTTAAAAAAATAGCAAGATGAGGTGCAATTGAATCTATTATGGACGCAATAACTGTAACGGAAAATCCCCATTAATTTTACAATATCTATATCATCAATATCTTAATATAAGAGTAATACTTTTTCAAATTTAAATTATTTTAAAAATGTATTAACATTCTGTTTGAGTAAAGACTTGGCGACAGTTGGATAAGTATTCAATTACAATGTTGTCAGTCCGTGGTTCTTTCCAGGTCGAGCCGACCCATCCTTGCTGCAGTCATACAAGTACAAGTGTACTGTGGCACTTACTAAGTTTGTTAAAGACAACAGCAATCTTTTGTAACACCATTCCTGAAAAATTCATATCAAATATATTTCACATAAAATGTGTAAAATATTATGAGGCAATGTTTTTATTAATTATATTTGTACTAGCTCGCCCGGCAGACGTTGTTCTGCCCTCTCCGACGACCTTTTGTCCTATAAAAATATCCTTAAATTCGTAATAAAAAAATATTGAGGGTCATTTATCGGGATAAAAACTATCCTATCTCTCAAGTTGGACCAAACTGAACGCAGTGTGCAAAATTTTATTGAAATCAGTTTAGGAGTCCATCGCGGACAAACAACGTGACATGTAATTTTTATTATAAAGACTAGCTGTTCCCCGCGACTTCGCTCGCGTGTTAAGGTTTTTTTTTTAACCTAATTCTTTTTTTAAAATGAAAGTAGCCTAAGTTACTCCTTATGAAATCAGCTATCTGCCAAAGTCCCGTCAAAATCGGTCCAGCCGTTTCGGAGATTACCCGGAACAAACAGACAGACAGACAAAAATTTTAAAATTGTATTTTAGTTCTAGGTACTGTATTTACTTTCATATGCATTTAGTAAAAAAACTGTAATTTTGACATTACAAACAGACACTTCAATTTTATTTATTTGTATAGATTTCTTAGCGCTTGTTATACAAGAATAGAAGCAGATAGATTTAATGTTAGGTAAAATTAATGAAATTGTAAATGAATTATCAACAAAACAAGAATCTAATATTTTCTACTAATACTTAAGTAGTAGGTAGATCAAGATATTCTCTATTTTGTTAGCTTTCTGTTCTTAATATATTATGGGTCCTTGGAAATCGGTTAAAAACAACGATAAACTATGAATTAATCGGGAACCGTTGCCTATCTCCTACGACTGCGTTTTTTCCATACGGTCCCATTTTGAAAGATGAATATTTTTAGGCTGAAATATATGACACGGACTCGTTCTAGATTTAATCCTCCCATATGAAGTGAGAAGTGCCAGTCCCATGGTAGCTGAGGGGCTAAGAGCTCGCTGTAAATTTCACGATATACGATACCCACCGGCACCAATGAAATTGTTAATTGCCATTTTAAGTGATGATTAAGCGTAGTGATTTATATACTCTCTGGTGCTAGTTGCCCGGTGGTGAAGGTAAACATCGTGATCGTAACCTGCAAGTCTGATAAAATATAAAAATAATATTTCAGACATGTAAAATCCGTCAACTTGTTGCATTCGGGAAGCGCAATGGACACATCCTTACCCTAAAACCCTAACAAAAATAAGATAATAACAATATCCATGTGTGGGACGCGTATAGTAAGTTACTTTTTTACTTTACTTAACCAGTTTTACGCTTAAGGAAGTAAGTCAAGGAAACACATAAACAATTTTAGCATCGCTTTATCTGCAGTAGGATATAACAGTTAAAAAAAGATAAACGTAGTAGTGTTTTATTGAACTTGACCATCAAAATCCGTGCAAATATTTGGCTTCACACCACGTTTCACATCCTTTACACCCGCCAATTCCAACGACAAATATTCCGAGATATGGCGATACGATTGTAAACAGAATAAATAAATATTCGAAGACATTTTATGGTAATTAATAAATTTCACCGATGCTCCAAAGACACCACCAAGGCATCTGGCCCCCACTATGCAAAATAATTGTACGAGTGCCCTTTTCTTTCCCTTTTGGAGATTTAGTGAATTATTTTGCATTACTGTGTACGTCAACTCTGAAC